GCTGGTTGTATGATTCTCCTTTCATTGTTTCATTGTTTTTATGCATTTCATTTAAAGTTAAAGAATTACGTTAATGCATTTATTTGCATGCATACAAGCGCAATGGGCCGATTATTCTGAGAAATTCGATGAAATTGAGCTGTCGACGTTTAGCAAGTACTGTACTGTTCATAGGTGGCAATATTCTCAGTTCACCACCCCGAGGTAAGCGACCCTGGCGGTGATTAAAGAAGTAATTTCCAAGCTGATGGGTAGAAGGGTTGAGCGTATTTGCGACATGTCCACTGAACTAAAAAAAAAGTACCAAGTGTACCAAACCCATAATTCAAGAATTATTTATCATAAATTGCTCAGTAAAAGTACACCACATTAAATCTATCATTTTGCACTGTTTGCCAAATACAACATGTGAAACTGACTAGGAATAAAGTCGGTATTATCAAAATAATACCGAGTATAGGATGGTAAACAGACAGTGATTTCGCGTGAAGGAGGACGTTGCACACGAAACAGGGACACTAAACTCGCTAACAACTGTGCCTATAGGAAACGAGGGCTTCACTTGTAACAAACAGGAATTCATGATGTAGTGGCCGTATAGTATGCCTGGTCAGTCGAACATTTACCAGGCCAGTGCTCATATGATAATGGGAGAAGGGAGGTTTTGTACAAGGCTGAACAGCCAAAATAGTGCAATTTTTTGCCAGGTCGATACAATGGAGCATATTCTATTACTGTTGGATCTCCCCAGTCCCTTATTCTTTGTTGCCGTGAGGGAACTTAGGAGACGGGTACTGGGGCTCAATGTGGGGGATCACCCCTGTCCTGGTCCTCAGCTATCACCTCAACTAATTTTACATGGACTTTTCTTTTCCTTTCCTTCATTCCATTGTTCTGTCCACTAAATCCTAATCGTCAAAATCCTTTTTGCCGTTTTCTCCACAATACTTCATCAACAACTTCCTTTTTTAAAAGCCTTAACCTTATACTATACCCCATCAGCTCCCGCCCTCTACCCTTTTCACTACTAGTACTGTTTAACCTGCAACTTTATCCTAATCATTAACTCACATAACCCTTTTCGTTACTCCACTTTGGCCTTTAATGTCATATAGCACTTCCTTACCTAGGGGCTTTGCCCCAAAGCTTCACACTATCTCTACATTTTGAATACGCCGCTAATAACTTTAGATGCTGACGTGGCAGATAATTTTCAATAAGTAATATAGTATTAAATGGATCACTCTTCAGCTTAGGTAAGATCTAAAAATTTCTTTCGATCTAATATTCGAATCACTTGCTCATTGTCATCAGGTTTAACATTAGCAGAAGCTGAAACAATAGGAAAAAAACTAGAACGTCTTCAGAAGAAAAAAACTATCTCACCATCAGAGGTGTGAACCCTCAAGTCTAATCACTATATATAACTTATCTTTCTAAAATAAAAAGGCTAGAGAGAAAGAGAGAGAGTGAGTGAGTGAGTGAGTGAGTGAGTGAGTGAGTGAGAGTGGACCACGGTCCCTTAGAATGCAGTAAAGAGTGAAATTAAATATACATTAAATACTCACCCCGGGCCCCCGATGAAGAAAGAAAGTTATGCACACACACACACACACACACACACACACACACACACACACACACACACACACACACACACACACACACACACACACACACACACACACACACACACACACACACACACACACACACACACACACACACACACACACACACACACACACACACACACACACACACACACACACACACACACACACACACACACACACACACACACACACACACACACACACACACACACACACACACACACACACACACACACACACACACACACACACACACACACACACACACACACACACACACACACACACACACACACACACACACACACACACACACACACACACACACACACACACACACACACACACACACACACACACACACACACACACACACACACACACACACACACACACACACAGTGCCTCATATGATATGGGAGAAGGGAGTTTTGTACAAGGCTGAACAGCCAAAAATAGTGCAATTTTTGCCAGGTCGATACAATGGAGGCATATTCCTATTACTGTTGGATCTCCCCAGTCCCTTATTCTTGTTGCCGTGAGGGAACTAGGAGACGGGTACTGGGGCTCAATGTGGGGGATCCACCCCTGTCCTGGTCCTCAGCTATCACCTCAACTAATTTTACATGGACTTTTCTTTTCCTTCCTTCATTCCATTGTTCTGTCCACTAAATCCTAATCGTCAAAATCCTTTTTGCCGTTTTCTCCACAATACTTCATCAACAACTTCCTTTTTTAAAAGCCTTAACCTTATACTATACCCCATCAGCTCCCGCCCTCTACCCTTTTCACTACTAGTACTGTTTAACCTGCAACTTTATCCTAATCATTAACTCACATAACCCTTTTCGTTACTCCACTTTGGCCTTTAATGTCATATAGCACTTCCTTACCTAGGGGCTTTGCCCCAAAGCTTCACACTATCTCTACATTTTGAATACGCCGCTAATAACTTTAGATGCTGACGTGGCAGATAATTTTCAATAAGTAATATAGTATTAAATGGATCACTCTTCAGCTTAGGTAAGATCTAAAAATTTCTTTCGATCTAATATTCGAATCACTTGCTCATTGTCATCAGGTTTAACATTAGCAGAAGCTGAAACAATAGGAAAAAAACTAGAACGTCTTCAGAAGAAAAAAACTATCTCACCATCAGAGGTGTGAACCCTCAAGTCTAATCACTATATATAACTTATCTTTCTAAAATAAAAAGGCTAGAGAGAAAGAGAGAGAGTGAGTGAGTGAGTGAGTGAGTGAGTGAGTGAGTGAGAGTGGACCACGGTCCCTTAGAATGCAGTAAAGAGTGAAATTAAATATACATTAAATACTCACCCCGGGCCCCCGATGAAGAAAGAAAGTTATGCACACACACACACACACACACACACACACACACACACACACACACACACACTCTCTCTCTCTCTCTCTCTCTCTCTCTCTCTCTCTCTCTCTCTCTCGTGCATATATATTTATGTATATAAATATATGCATAAATACATACATACATACATATATACATACATACACACACACACACACACACACACACACACACACACACACACACACACACACACACACACACACACACACACATATATATATATATATATATATATATATATATACATACATATACAGACATACACACATGTAGGTCCTCTCCATCGGGGTCCAGGGGGAAAATTTGATACGACACTAGTGACAACTCAGCCGTAAAAGTAGGACAAAGAAAGGCAATTGTTTTTAAACGAATTACGACCTATGTATAGAGGCTGCGTAAGAAGCTGGAATACAGTAATGGCTAACAACACCCAATCTGATGCCGCAGCCTGTCGGTATGGAGGCTAAAAGAAAAGAAAAGAACAGAAAAACATCAGTAGTAGTATAACGTAATAGAAACAGCAGTTGTGTTATCAGCGATGAAGGAAGGAACATTTACTTTTACATAAAAGGACTGGTTAAGCTGTTGATATTGATAATGATGAAAAAAATGAACTTTATTACAAAGAGAAACATCAAGGATAACTAGAGAAGTACTGATTATTTGTATCAATATAATGGAAATATTGATGGTGGACATAGGCAATGCTACCTACGGTAAGAGGAAATTTATAACAACAATAACATGGCGGCATAGCTCAGTTACAATTGCAAGGCCCTCTCAGTCGACTGGTAGAAAGATACCATACTGAGTTACTGGCGCCTAACACATCATTAGTACGCTTGGTTCTCCACGGACATGTCCCTTACATTCACGTGGTTATGAGACTTTGGCTTAATTATAATAGCCATTATGATAATCATGGTAATTATGATAATGATGATGGCAATGATAATGATTATCATACAGCTATTAGTAATGAAAAATATGATATTGACAATGATAATGATGATAGTGATTGTGACAATTATAACGAGTGATAGTAATAATGTCACTGACAATGACGATAACCATGAAGCGTGATATGCGACCGCCAGCGTTTTGCGATTCAGATGTCTTGGTAAAAATAATCTTTGATTGTCAAGAAATTTAAAGAAATTGTATTTCATATTAAAAGACACTCCTATATCAATTCAGACTTAATAATATCTATTAGATATAATACATTTGTTTTTTTTTCTATCATAGTTACCCCAAGAAAATAATTTTCTTTGGTTAATTACTTATAGAAAACTATTAAAGGGGTGCCTAATTCATTTATAGCATGTTTGTTAACAAGGAACAACAGGGCGAGGACATGAACAAGATTTACAATTACCATTGTTTTTCCTAACACTGAAAATTAAACTTTTAATGAGCATAATAATCAGCACAGCTTACCTGCCACCTCATGCCACCAAATTATAAGATATTCTTGTAACGGGATTTCAATATAAGTATAATCGATAGGCAAAGGTTACATTTACACGGAGTCCAAAGATTAGTGCAGAAATCTAAATCCGAGTGATGATATAAAACTGTAAAGGGAAAGACGTGCGAGAGCGAGAGAATTCACGCAGTAAAGGTAAGGTTCCGAAGACGAATGCTAAAAGAAGTAACAGAAAGCTGTCAGAAAAGACGACTATACTCACGTGAGAGGCCAAGAGTGGCTTCAAGAAGAGTATTGTCAGAAAGTGTGCTAACTATAGATCTTCTTTAACTGTATTAATGTTGCGTGACTATAAGCAAAAGGCAAATCTTTGTCATTAAGAACGAAAACACTGTTCATGCCAAGAAAGAATCAGTATGAGATCCTGTTTGAAACTTTCCAGTCTACCTTTTTTAAAGGCACCTTTTAATCGTATCTCTGTACATCGATAACATCGCACTCAGGAAAGAGAAAGGAGACTTAACGAATGCACAGACATTACTACTGTGCATAATATATTTTCCCT